TGTTTGTGTATAGGAAAGCCTCTGACTTTTATGTGTTGATTTTATATCCTGCTACCTTGCTAAACTGGTGGATGGTTTTGATTAGTTCCTGAAGAGCAGTGTGTTTTAAGATTGTACTTGGTCAGTATTAAATCAAAATCACTGTCAAACAAGTGCACAAAGCTGGTCATCATGTATAAACTATACCTTAAAATTTTAAAGTATAGTGTTTTTTATTCAAAGTGCATCTATTACTTGCTAAAACATTAAATCCTACACATACTTTTGTTCCTTCTTAAGGGTTTGCACATTCTTCATGTTTTAGCCAAGGGAACAAAATGCTGGCTAAAGGATAAAAAACATGGTGTCCCCCCCCTTCCCCCCCCAGGTTTATTGCTGCTTTACTTTACAAATGGAAAGACATGGAAACAGCCCAAATCCCAAAAGTAGATGACTGGATTAAAGAGATTGGTACATATACACAATGGAATATTACAGCAACATAAAAAAAAAACAAAAACAAAATACAAAAACACATGCCTTTTGCAGCAACATGGATGGAGCTGGAAGAGATCATGCTTAGTGAAATAAGCCAGAAAGAAAGGAAAAAATACCCGATGGTTTCACTCATAGCAGGAGTATAAAGTACCGGGGGAGAAAATAATAATAATAAACAGCTATATATCAGAGACATTTTTGGGGGTGGAGTGGGGAATGGGATCAAAAACAGTGGGGGGGGAGGGAAATGCGCTGGACTATGGTGATGGCACATGGGTGACTTTGTGATGGGAAGCTCATGGGATTACAACTGAGATATAGGCACATAATGAGGCTTTATATCTATATAGGCACTATATATATGTGTGTGTATATATATATATATGTATGTATACACACATACATACACACACACACATATATATACATACATATATTTTTTAGATTTATTTTTATTTTATTTGTGCATACAGAACTGGGGTACAGGCCAGAAATGTAGGGGCGGTGAGAGGATTCACCAGAGGCAGAGTGGGGAGCAGAACAGGCCGACTGATGAAGTACACTGCTGAGGGGAGCAGCAGGCAGGTCAGGAGAGGTCTGCCGTGCCATGTGGTCACTTCTGGGGCAGGGGGGATTGAACTCATGTGGAAGTGGCCCTAGCTTCCCAGTGCTGTGCTTTAACCCACTGCACCACCAGGAAGGGCCTAAGCTATTATATTATTAAAAAAAAAAACAAAAAACAAAAAAACTCCACAATGTCCCAGCAGATAGTTGTGTCACCCTAAGTCATTTAATTTCTCTGGGATCCTTTTCCTCCCCTGTAAAGGCAGATCGCTACGAATCTTTCCACTGTGTGCTAATCCTGACATCCCAAGAGCTTCCTCTCTTCTCTAAGTGATACTTCAAAGACCATTTCCCTGTTTAAAAACAAGAGTATGAGTAGGGAGTCATTATAAGAAATGAAGCACATCAAGTTTCACCATTATTTTAATTATCAAAACAAAATTTAAATCAATTTTTGCCACTGTGGACACTTAAAGGTCCTAGGAGGTAAATATGAATTTATGCGACAAAATGTTTTCATTCATTATACCAAATTTCCAACAACTCTGACAATTATCTTTCAGAAAAATTTCCCAACATTTTAAGTATGTAAATTGGAGGTTAACTCTAAGCCCACATCATTATCTTTCTCATTTTGTGTACAGAATACTGAAGAGTTCAGAATATTTTTTAAGATTTATTTATTTAAGCAACACAAGAGCTGAGGTTTAGGTCATAAGTGTGAGAGGTGAGAGACTAGACCATAGACAGAGTGGGGGACAGGTGTATTTATTGAAATACTCTGCTGAGGGGAGCACCGGGCAGATCAGGAGAGGTCTACCACAGACAGCACACTTTTTGAGCCTCCCTGTCTCAACCCCTGGCTGGGTATTGAACTGTCTGGGGTTAGAGCTGCACTGGCTTCAAGTACTGCACTTTAAACCATAAAGGGTCCTGAAGAGTTCCGTTCCATTGAATTGGTTCCAGAATTTTTCCTCCCTATCCCTAAGCTGCCAGCAACCCCTCCAATTACATGTTCAAACAGATCAAGCAATGACTATATATATATAGCCACAAAGAATAACAGATATTTTTGTTAACCCTAATATGATTTGCTGTCTTGTGGGGCATAAATCACAAAAGCATATCAAAATAAAAAATTTGAATGCCAAATGATACATCTTCAATCCTAAAAAAAAAAAAAAAAAGATTTATTAGCAAATGCTTCTGCTGTGTAAATCATTGTTTGTAAAAGAAGCAGCTGTCGACACTTTTCTAGACCATTACAAAGAACATATTCCACTAGTTTATACCACTGGTTCTCCCACAGCCTGAGAGGAAAGAGTGCTGAATTAAAGTCCAGATCCTGGCTCTTCCCTTAATAACTATATGACTCTGAGCATTCACTCAGCTTCTCTGATGGTCTCTAAATTAATTTCCTTGTCCTAGAATATGAGGATATAACATGTTTTCAGTACCCAAGTACCATGTAAAGTAGAATTTAATTGAAAAGCTAGATTTTCTACCTTCGGAATCTGGCAAAAGGGTAGAGAAGCCCAATTCATCCCCCTTTTATGCTAGAGGTCCTTAAAGATATGTCTATTACAGTCCTTACACTGAGTTCTAACATTCTGCTTCCATTTCTCTCCTCTCCTGACTACAATGCTCTAAAAAGCAAACTCATGGCCGACATACTAAATCTAAATCTAAACAAAAAATTGAAGAAATGATTTAGAACCACATCATTCTCTACTCTGGCTAAACAATTAAGCAACTGCTATACAAAGGAAGACAGTGTTTTTTTTTAATTTATAACATCTGTCATTAAAAAGAATTTTGAGATAATAGTTTACAATACTGTATATGATTTAGAAGTAAAGGTTGACACCACTTAAGATATATGTTACTACTCCATACCTACCACCAAAGCACCCATAATCCTCTACCACAGTCCACCACAATCCTCTAACAATACCGCCTGCCCTCTGCCACCGGCAGCCTCAAACTCTAGAATCAGATTTCTAAGGATTGTTTTGGTTTAGATGTGTTTGCACCTTAGTTTTGTTGCTTTATATTTCATATGAGTATTTATCTTTCTCCTTCTGATTTATTTTGTTTGCCATATTCCCCTCCAGTTCCATTGAGGAGGCAGTGGTTCATTTTTTTAAAACCCAGAGATGCTCAGTGTAGAAATAGCACAAGGCCAGACTCGCAGGTGGATAGAGGACTGCCTCTACCAGTCCCACCAGACTGGCAGCTCCTCTATCCTTCTTTTAAAGCACCAGTGATGCTGGCAGAGGCACATTTGGGGCCACACCTTTCCTTGTGCCACTGCACAGAAGAAAATGAGACCCCATAAGACTCTCCTTTGCTTTCTGAAATGCTACTCTTATTAATGTCTTCATTAGTGTTCTATTAGAGCTACAAATAATTCCCAGAAGAGTAAAACAGAAAAGCGTTTTTTAAGGTTAGAAACCCACCTCCATCATTCTGATTAGTTATCAGGATCTATAAAAAAGAAAATGGAGAAAGAAAAATAAGTAAATTTCACTTTAAAAACACTATGTATTAATAAATGTCTTAAACTATTATAAGTTAGGCTGGAATAGCCTGCTGATCCTAAGTATGCTCCTTGTTAGAACCACCCCCTAGGCCCAATCCTGCCTCTCAGCCACAGATCTCAACCTACCAGTACCTCAGTTGCTCCCTGTTCATATTACTGTTTTAGGGACAATGGTATGCAAAGGCCGCTTAGAAGTGATAATAATCTGAGCTTTAATAACATTTCCTAACAATCCCAGTATGCAGATTTTTTAAAATATCAAAGCAGCTTTATACAGTGGCCATATTCAAATATAATTGTCAATACTTAAGGAAAAAACTTGAAAACTCACCCCACTTAACTATCAGGGGCTCCTTGAGAGTTTCATGGCTCACATAGCAAGTATATTCATCTTTTCCATTGGGAGTGAAGGCAGTATGGACCAGAAGATAAAAAGACCAGTCCTTGCTGAAAGACAGATCAGACTGTTCCGATGGCATTTTCTCTCCATTCTTCCGTAATTCAATTTCAATAGGAGCAGGATGGAACCCAGAGACGTAGCAGTTAAGGAAATTTGGCTTTCCAGTCTCCATTGGGCGACGTGAGTACACCTGAACCTTTGGAGGACCTAAGGAACATCAGGGAAAGACAAAAACTGCCTAAGGGTTTTGTTTTTTTTCATCATTCTTATTTTTGTACATTTTTCATCTCAGTTGTTATCCCCATGGGCTTCCCACCACCAATTCACTGATGTGCCATCACCATAGTGCCTGAGTATTTCACTTCAGTTACCTTGATCTTAATCTGTAACAGGTACCAAATGCTTAAATTTGGTCATCTACTTTTCCCAATTCCATTTCTACTCATTCCACTTTTCCAAAGGCTAGTTCTATTTCAAGAAATAAATCATTGAGAATCATTAGTATCTTTCTCATATAATTCCCTTCTATACCTGCCTTTTTATATCTTTCTAGCAAGATTTCTACTAGTTTCTTCTGTCCTTAGAGATTATGCACGTCTTTAAGAATCTTTCTCTGGATGTTCTCAAAAACTTTTGATGGTTTCCCAGCACCCATAGAATCCCTTACCACTTCACTCCAGAGTCTACATGATTTGACTTCATATTACTTTTCATACTTCATGTTTCATTTCACATACCCTCCATAGTAGCCACATCAAATTACTCATGTTATTCTGTCTTGTTTAATTTTTTTTAAAGACTTATTTATGCATACAGAGCTGGGGTATGGGCCAGAGGTGCAGGAGCAGTGAGAAGATTCACCAGAGACAGTGGAGAGCAGAACAGGCTGACTGAGAAAGTACAGTGCTTAGGGGAGCAGCGGGCGGGTTAGGAGAGGTCTGGCGCCATGTGGGTCACCTCTGGGGCAGGGATTGAACTCAAGCTGAAGTGGCTTTAGCTTCTTAGTGCTGTGCTTCAACCCATTGTGCTACCCTTGTTTAAGTTCTCCTTCTGTTTACTCCTTTCTTTTTGGTTCCTGCTCCCACCTATCTGAATTCCCATTATCTAGTAAGTGCCTAGTACAAAGCCTATAACTGCTTTCTAAGTTAACAGCAGTGGTTGCTGATGTTGTTACCTCTTTGTTCTGGTTCATAAGTGAGTCTACCCAGAATATGTGTTACAAAAACACAATCTTTTGACCTGCCTAGAATTTATACACTAAATCTCTTTGATTTTGTACCTGATTTAATGCACTCAAAACAGAAATAAAACTTAAATGCCTGTAGAAGTTGGCAAATACTTTAAATGAGTGGGTTGGCCTACCTAACTACAATAGGGGAGGGTGAGGACTGTGGCAGATGGGAAAGAATATACTCTCTATTATGACCAAGTGAAGTAATGCATGTAAGAGTGAGATTTACATTCTTAATTAGCACCTCAATTGACTGCTATACTAGCAGGTTGGGAAAAGTCACATAATGCTAGAGAATAGTGGTTTCCAGGGGGGATCTGTGAATAAACCATCCTTAGGAATATAGAAAGAAAATATAAACTTTCTGTATTTTTCACCCAAAATGAAGGTAAATGTTGCTGTTACTATATAAACAGATTTACATTAACACATGTGTATAATTCACTTATAAGTAAACATATATTGAGGGAACCTGATTACCAGAGGCAAACTCCTCCTCCATGTACAGGGGTAATAAGGAGAAAGAAGAGTACCAGGCTACTCTGGTTGGATATACCTGTCTAAATGCCATCTTCAAAGGAGAGGTCATGAGTCCACCAAGAGTTGGATGAAGCTCTGATTATTTTTTCATTAAGTTAAAAGTGAAGATATATCAAAAAGTTCTTTTTATTTGAGCTTCTTATAATCAGAATATCACAAATGTCAGAGCTTCAGAGCACAGGTTTAACCTGCCTAGAATTTTCTCTCTGAAGGGTACAGGTAAGATTTGCCAAGAAAATCACAATAATCTCTTCAAGGAAGAGAAGGGTAAGACAGGCCTGAGTTTGAATCTGGGCTCAACCACTTACTGACTTTATGACTCTGAATTTCTGAAGCCTAATAATTTAACTAAAAATTTAAATTATGCCCACAAACAAAACCCACAGATGGCACATATAGAAAACAGATATCCATTACTGTATCTTATCTTCCAGTGGTGATTTTACGTGTGTCATGTACTACTAATTCGGAATTTTTCAATTTTCATTAAACAAAATGTTGGCTTTCTATTAAAAAAAAAATAGACTTCAGGCCCTCCCTGGTGGCGCAGTAGGTTAAAGTCCAGCACTGTAAGCTAGCCACAACAGCTTCAGTGTGAGTACCATCC